CCAAGGAACAGAATCCCTTCTCCAAACCCCAGCATTCCTGCTCCAAGGAACAGAATCCCTGCTCCAAACCCCAGCATTCCTGCTCCAAGGAACAGAATCCCTGCTCCAAACCCCAGCATTCCTGCTCCAAAGCACAGCATCCCTGCTCCAAACCCAGCATTCCTGCTCCAAGGCTGCAGCCTCAGCCTGACCAGAGGAACAAGAACCACCCTGCAACCCCCCCCGGAGACACGGCCCCGGGAAGCTCCGTGGACCCCGATGGCTTCCCAATGTCCCAGCTGAGTGTGGGACCCAGGAACTCCAGGATCTGCACCTCCCCAAGGGCTGGAACGCACGTGGGACCAGGACTGTCTCCAAACAGGGTGTTTTTTCCCTTCTTTTCCATCTCTTTTTCCCTCTGGACACAAGCTGTTTCGAGGAGCTGCCCGGTGTGTCTTCCCAAATCCCCGAGCCACACATGGGTGGGCACAAACCCCTTCCCAGCCCCAGCCTGTGCCCATCCTCCCTCCACAGCTCTCCCTTCACTCCAACCCACCCACAGAAGGCCAGACCCAGGGATTAGGGGCAGTTCCTCCCTCTAAGGACAATTTTCCCGCTGTGCTGGTTCGGGGTTTGGCCCCTCACGGCACCACCCACCTGGATTTTGGCCCATCCCACGACAAGGGCAGCACTTGGAAGGACTTCCCCCCACGAGAGGTGATTAAAAACAGACAGGACAGGCACCTTTGCCCTCTGTAATTAAGGTGCTGGTGTCCTTTGGGCTTTAATAAGTGTGGGGTCCCCTCCCTCCTCCCTCTCCCTCATCCTCCCTGAAATCAGCTCTCACCTCAGGGCTCTCCTGACACCTCCAGGTTTTCCCTGAGCAGATTCTTTTGCCTCATTAACCTTCCCAAGCTGCTTCACTTCATGAGAAACACCTTTTTTTTTTTCTTTTTTTTTAATCTTTTGCACTCTCCACTGGGCTGAGTTTCATTCTAAAGGCACAAAAATAACCCGGAGGGGCTGCGGGTCAGGGATGGGCGTGGAACTGGGATGCCCTTGATCCTCGGGCCCAGAAGTTCTCTTGATGCTGCTCCAGCAAGGAGAGGAAGGAAAAAAAAGGAGGAGGATGAAGGGAACGGGTCCCTTTTGTTAAACAGGAACAATTCCAGGGAGAACAAACATCTCCTCAAATCACCGGTTGCTGTTATCTGGGATAATCTCGGCACAGGCGGAAGCTCAGAAGGTCTCTGACAAGGAGAAGAAACCAGAATTGATTTATTTTCTTATCTTTGATGGAGTAAGTGAAGCTCTGGAGACTCTCCCAGGTCCGGGGGCCTTGGATGACCCCGTGAGATTTAAAGGATTGGGGGAGTGTGGCAGGAAAAGGAGCTTCTGCTTCCATGGGGGGGGAGAGGTGCTTTGGGGGGTGACATGGAGGACACCAGGGAGGCAAAAGGGAGTTTGGGGTTGGGTTTGGGTTTGCCCAGAGCAGCTGCAGCCCTGGGGTGAGGAGGGGCTCAGGGGGGAACAAGGGGCTCAGGGGGG